AGCTATTCGTGGGTATCGAAAAACCCTAAAAACAATGCAAGAAAAGTGCCCCTTTCCCCGACCCCGAAAGAGCCTCCGATTGGGCGGCGTAGGATAGGACGAATACGGGATAGGTTGCTAAAATCTCAAGGTCAATGGACGCTGCCTGAACTGCAAGGAACTATGGTGACGATCTGTAGCTACAATGCACATACAGTTGCTTCCGAGTCTTCGATAGAAGACTTGCTCATGTAAACAAGAAGAATAAGGTGCGACTTCAACGGCCTGGACGAGACGAGACCACGCCACCCATTCAACGCCGTCTATGTCACCGGAGAAGAACTGTTCTGCGGAACATGCGACAGTAAAGGAGCCGGTTCTGTCGGCGTTGTCGTTAACACGAGTTTGACCATGAACCTCGATTCATTCGGACAGCTAATAAGCCGAATCGGACGTTTACGATTTTAGAGATGTAGATCAACCAATCTTTAATCTTCGTCGTTTACGCGCCAACATCAAGACGAAAAAGACGTCGAAGCGTTCTACGCAGACTAGAAGAAGATCTAGAGAGAAGACCATACATTGTTCACGTTCGTCATTAAAGATTTTAAAGCTAAGATTGGACCAAGAGGAACGTCTCTAGGATGTCACATTGGGACCCTGGAACGAACAGGGTGGGCGGCTGTCCGAGTTTATCATGGTACCCAAGACCATCCATGGTAACTCGCAATTTCAGAAGCTCCGACCTCAAAGCTGTACGTGGGAGTCCCAATGGCCAGTCACCTGTCAACTGTAGTCCTGTTGATCGTCTAGTGACTCGAATGGGCCCCAGTAAATCTTCCATTTTTACCTACCTCGTGCAAGAGTAGCCCAGTGGGTTCTACTCACTCTAGGGACTCGTCGAGCATCATGTCTTTCTTCCAGGCTTTTTGCGAAGAACTCTGACCATCATCGGGTCGATGCCCCTTCCGCAGTACATTTGACATCTCGAGGAATCCAGTCACTAACGGTTCCTGTCCGTCGGTTGTCATTCATGCCCATTACGTGTTCGGCTCACTTTATCTTCGACTGTTTGGTATACAGAACGGCATTTTTGATTCTTGATCGTTGACGCAGGTAGGAGCTTCGGATACCATCCCTCACTTGTGTGAAACCGGATACTCAAAGCATTATCCTTTCGGCTGCGTATTCGATAACGCTGAGTAATCTTTCATTCCTCTTTCGCAGCGATCAGGTTTCTGACGCATACGTTAGGGCGGGAAGTATCGCTGAGTCGAAAGGTGGGCACGGAGTCCGGTGTTATTTGCTCTTCGCTACATCCTCGATGCTATTGAAAGCTCCCCAAGCCGCTCGTTTTCTTCTGCTCAGCTCTGGAGCTAAGTCGTTCATTATGTTGATTTTCCCATCTAGATAGACATAACTGGAGCTTTAAGAGATATTCGTTCCGTTGATCGTGAATGGCGCATACGAAACCAATCCGTTCCTTATGAACATCGTTTTTATGAGATTTAGTCGAAGACCAATCTTTCCACAGGCTTTACCAAAGTCGGCAAGCATACGTTCCTCTTGACTAATGTTTGGTGTTATAATGACGATGTCATCAGCAAAGCGAAGATGATGTAACTACCGACCATCGATTTTCATTCCCATATTATCCAAATCCAGTGTTCGTATGACACTCTGGAGGGTGGCGGTAAATATTTTCGGCAAGACGGTATAGCCTTGCCTAACTCCTCTTTTGAGATCGATGTTAATATCGTTGTAGAATGGTAAAATCTCGGTTGTGAAATTTCTTTACAGCTCACGAAGAATCTTTACGTGCTGAGTAGGGACTCCTTGACTATGAACGGCTTCCATGGCTGCTTCTATCTCAGTTGAATTAAAGGCCTTCTGTAATTCGATGAAAGTGAGAGAGAGTGGTCTTTTGTAGTCTCGCGATACTTCAATGAGCCTTGCTATCGTGTGAATGTGGTCCACCGTACTAAACCGTTTCGAAACCCTTCTTGCTCACATGGCTGCCCTTCGTACAGTGTTCAATCAATCCTCTTTAGGATGACTCGAGTGAAAAGTTTGTAGACGACAGAAAGCAAGCAAGTTGGGCGATAGTTGCCGTTATCGTATAGGTCACCTTTCTTGCACGATAAGACGGTCCATTGAGTAGGGACCTTGCATTCAGACAAGTAACGTGTGAAGAGCCGATCCCGTGTATTTACGAGGACTGGCGCAAGGTTCTTCAGGTGTTCACGTCTTATCCTGTCTGGACCTGGTGTTGTTCGATTTTTCACCGACGAAATGGCATGTCGGATTTCGGAAGGGAGAACTGGTGGCACAACATATCCATGCTCCTTTATTTCATATGACGGGAGGTGGACGTGGCTAACGAAGAGATCTGAGTAATATTCGTGAATAATTTTCTCCATTGCTCGTATGAAATGCTGAGATATTTGCAAAACTCCGGACCGCAGGTGTATGCAGTGGGGAACGAACACGCGCTGTTGTCCTTACAGGGGAACGGCGCACTTCACCACCACACCATCCGGGTTCTTAGTCTTGGCTGTCTCTCAACTAGTTCTATCGATCTTTTTGCCATCAGCAATCACCCGTCAACGGGATTGATCTGGGGAGCCCAAATCGGCATTGAACCCAGTTAAGCTGAGGCTTAGTTATAATCGCAATCTTAACCCTTTTATTTACTGCTTTTTCTTCTTAATGTCAGGTTATGTTGCGAAATATAACTCGTATGAAATGCTGAGATATTTGCAAAACTCCGGACCGCAGGTGTATGCAGTGGGGAACGAACACGCGCTGTTGTCCTTACCAGGGAGCAGCGCACTTCACCACCACACCATCAGGATCCTTCTCCATTTCGATAGAAATTATTTCTCCATTCCCTTTCTGGACCCCGTAACTGTTCCTTCTGGCCGTTGGAGTGCAGTGATCTAGGTCTTGTAGTTGACGAAGCTTCGATGGGCTTTGCGATTACTTTTCCCAGCCTCTGCTGCTTCGACCATTATTGCTGTTCTTCTCTCTTTAAGATCTTTTTCTATCGTCTGTCTGCATTGTTTTGCAAGCTCGGACGCTAGTTCGCGGTTGCCTGCAGCTTGTGCGATTCCACGCTAACGTATCAGTTCGAGTGTTTCTGGTGACAGACGTCTGTTGTGACTTTCAAATTCTTAGCTTTCATAGCGCTATCGTTAGGATGTTGAATGAGCTGATCGTATTCTTTATCGATGTTATCAACAACGGCTTCTTCCCAACAGCCGTCCAATGGGTTGAAGAAGTCCCAGCTTACGGTGGCTCTGGAGCTTTGGTTTTTGAAATTAGCGACTCCTTCTCATTTCCGCGAAAAATAGAATCTTGCACGAAGGAGAAAGTGTTCTGATCCCCTGTAGAATTTTCTGACAACAGCGACATCGGTTAGGTAAAACCTTCTATTTACTATGACGTGGTCTATTTCGTTATGGTACTCCCCATTGGGAGATTGCCACGCCGAGCGTTGAGCGAGGGGCTTCTGGAATTGCGAGTTACCATGAATGGCCTCATCCTGTTTGCTCCATTCTGATCCGTGGGTTCCAATGTGACGTTCTTCAGACCTTCTTCTTAGTCCGGTCGTTGCGTTGAAATCTGTAATGAAGACCTTGAAGAATGTATATTCTTCTCTTTAGAACTTCCCCAAGTTCATATAGAACGCTTCGACTTCTTCTTCGTCATAGTTTGATGTCGGCGCGTAAACAACGAAGATTGTGAAAGCGTATTGATCTACATCTCTAAAATCGTGAACGTATTCGGTTTGATAGCTGTCCAATTGAATCGAGGTTCATGAACAAAGCCGTTTTGACGAAAACGTCGACACCGCCGACTCCTCTACTGTCGCATGTTCCGCAGAACAGTTCTTCTCCGGTATCATAGACGGCGTTGAATGGGTGGCGTCGTCTCGTCTCGGCTAGGCCGATGACATCGTGCTTTATCCTTCTTGTTTACATGGGCAAGTCTTCTATCGAGGACTCGGATGCAAGTGTACGTGCATTTACAGGTCGTCACCATAGTTCTTTGAAATCCAGGCAACTTCCATTGGCCCTGAGATTTTAGCAGCCTCCCCGTACTCGTCCTACCCAACGCTGCGAAATTGGAGGCTCTTTCGAGGTCAGCAGAATGGTTGTTGGGCTCTGAACCTGGGAGCTGGGTGTACTCACGGGTAGCTTGCCAGGCTCTCCCAGAGTCGACATGGAGCTTATTTGATGAAGGCGACTCCTAACTTCCTCCCGTATACTTCACAGTCACTTGATTACAGGCTTTTCGCCGAATTGACTCGTACAATACAATCCGCATAAGCAAGAACGCACCCACACATGCATGGATGAATACGCCTAGCAAATACAGAAAGTATGTGCCAAATCAGCGCAGCAGAAACAAGGACTCCATCTCCTGGGATCCAACTGCGTCCCAGGAAAGCAAAGGGCGCTTTTGGTCTGCGATTGACCCCTATCCGCCACCTAGAGCGGGCCACGTAGCCTCTAACCGGCTCGACATCCTTTGTGTGAGGGAGATCCGTGGTCCAGTTGAGAGTCCCATGACCTAATAGACCACATAATAGTAAATAGAAGGTTTTGCCTTACCGATATCGCTGTTGTTCCAATATTCTACGCGGGATTAGAGTATCGTATCCTTCGCGTAAAGCTTCATTTTCGCGTAAAGGAGAAGGAGCCGCTAAGTTCAAAAAACGAATTCCCAGGGCCACCATAAGCTTACATTTATTCAATCCATTTGCTGGCTGTTTGAAACATGTCGTTCTCCACAACGTGGACATAGAGTACGATCAGTTCATCTAACATCTTCGCGTTAGCGCTTTGAAAGCTGAGAGTGGGACATTTACCAAAAGACGTCTGTCTCCATAAACACTAGAGCTGATACGCCAGCGTGGAATCGCACGAGATGCAGGCAACCGCGAACTAGCGTCCGAGCTTGCAAAACAATGCAGACAGGCGATAAAAGAGGATCTTAAAGGGAGAAGATCACTAGTAATGTTGAAGGCTGCAGAGGCAGGAAAAAGCATTGGCAAAGCCCACCGAAGCTTCGCTAATGACAAGACCAAGATGACTGCACTCCGATGTCCAGACGGAACAGTTACTGCTTCCAGAAAAGGAATGGAGAAAATCACTCACGAATACAACTCCGATCTCTTCTATAGCCACGTCCACCTTCCGTTATTTGAAATAAAGGAGGATGGATATTTTGTACCGCCGGTTCTCCCTTCCGAAATCCGACGTGCCATTTCGTCGGTGAAAAATCGAACAACACCAGGTCCAGACTGGATAAGACGTGAACACCTGAAGAACCTTTCGCCAGTACTCGTAAACACATTGGCTCGGCTCTTCACAAAGTATTTGTCTGAATGCAAGGTTCTTACTCAGCGGAAGAATAGCAAGATTGTGCTATTTTTCAAGAAGGGCGATCTTCACAGTAACTAAAAGCAACCAACACCTAATTTGCTCACCGTCCGTCGTCTACAAACTTTACAGCATTTCGCAAAAGATTAGTATGACGGATAATATCCACACAAGGTATTGAAGTAACGCGAGAGCAAAAAAGAGAGCTCTTTTTCACTTTCATCGATTTCATCTCTTTGTCTGAAATAGAAGCAGTCATGGAAGCCCTGGACAATTAGGTAGTCTCTACTCAGTATATGACCCGTATAGAAATTTCACAACCAAGATACCACCATTCTACAACGGTATAAACGGCGACGTCAAGGATGGGTGAGCCAAGGCGTTGCCATCTCTCTAAGATTATTTACCGTCACCCTCGAGAACGTCGTGCGAACGTTAGAGTGGGATGACATAGTAGTAAAATCGATGGTCCGCAATTACACCGCTTTCGCTTTGCTGATGACATCGTTCTTATAACACCAAACATTTGTAAGCGGAAGGTATGCTTGCCGATTTTGACAAAGCCTGTGGAAAGATTGGTCTTCGAATAAATCTCACAAAAACGATATTGATGATGAGCGGATTGGTTTCGTGTACCCCATGCACGCTCACTGGTACGAATATCTCCGAATGCTCCATTTATGTTTATCTTGGTCGGGAAATTCATATGATGAACCACTTAGCCTCGGTGTTGTACAGAAGGAAACGAGCGGCTTGGAGAGCTTTAAAGGGCACCGGGGGTATGGTGAAAAAAGGAATGATCACCTGACACCGTGCCCACCTTTGCGACTCCACTTTACTCTCTTCCTTAACATCTGCGTTAGAGACCTGATCGTTGCATTAGAAGTATGGAAAATCACTCGGCGTTATTGAACGCGCTGCCGAAAGGACGATGCTAGGACTATCCAGTTTCACACAGATAAGGTAATGGAACTGAAGCTCGACCCGTGTCATCAGTCACAAATCATAGATGCCGTGCTGTACGCCGACTTGAAGACAAGGTGGGCCGGGCACGTAATGCGTATGAACGACAACCGATAGACAACACCCGTTAGCGACTGGATTTCTCGGAATGTCAGACGTTCTGCAGGAAGGCCACCGACCCGATGGTCAGAGTTCTTCACAAAAAGCCTAGAAGAAAGACATGGTGCTCAACGAGTCCTTAGATCCAGCAGAAGCCACTGGGCTATTCTTGCACGCGACAGGGAAAAGCGGAAGTTTTACTCGTGCTCGCTCTAGTCACTCGACTATCAACGAGAATGCAGGTGATACAGGTGATTGCTCTACGCTGGTGGTCGTCATCATAAACTTTCCTAGGAGGGCTTGATCCTAAAACCGAAGGTAGTGAGGAAGGAATCTAGGAGCTTCTGCAGCATTTTATATGCATGTAACAGTGAACAACCATGTAGGCGTTTCATTATCGTCTATCTGCCCTCGTAGTCATAATCTGTTGTATCTAGAACTTAGTGTATGTTTGATGTCTAGCATCATACCTGTTTCTTTCCTTCGATGATGAACTGGCGGTTGCGAAAGGTCACCATAAGAAGCGATAACTCAAAAAATCGCGGCAATTGAAGACAGGAAAAGAAGCAGCTCCAAACGAACCTTAAATTCCAGCATTTATAATATATATAAAAAAGAAATAGACGATGAAATTAGAATAATAACAAGACCAGCCTAATCTTCGTCGTTTAAGGCTTAAGCTGGAATCATTTTCTAGTAAATTTTCCGAACATGGTGTCCTTTTCGCTTGTGATGGACCTGACCTTCTTCACTTCTAATGTCTCCGTGCGTACAACATAGAATACACAGCTCGCAATGCTACGAAATTTAAACGAGGGCTTATGCGTACGTATATTTCCAAGCTTGGGTGTGTGGAGCAGTTGTCGGAGACGCTCCACAACATATAGGATCGGTCTCTGCGCTCCCATCTAGCAAGTCTTCCATCCTTCGCGGGTCGGAAAATTGGTGCCAGATTTGTCTGGTAGGACAGCAGCACTGGTTCGATACATCGGTAGGCCACCTTGAGTCATTGTAAAGGCCAAATGTGCATTCAATCGCCTTCCGCGACGCATAATGAAGTCGAATGCATGAGACATCCCTCAGGGATTGATCAACACCGAGAGCTTACTCCTTTTATCCATTGTAGCCATGCTTCAATAAAACGAGTGGTTACAGCAGGATGTAACAAGTAATTACAAAAGGCTACTTTGCCAGAAGTATTCAAATTACAAAAGAGACTGTGAATCATCATAATATGGCAAAATGGTGCGTGTAAAGGTTAAAGGATAAAGCTCTCGGTGTTGATCATTCCCTGAGAGATGCTCCCCGCATGGGACTTCATTAAGCATCGTTTGGAGGTGATTGATTGCATATCTAGCCTTTACAATGACTCGCGGTAGCCTACTGCTACTGTGAAACAAGCCAGTAGTGCTATCCTCCCAGACAAGTCTGGTGCCAAGTTTCCGACCTCATAGGAATGGATGGCTTGGTGAGTCAGGGGAGCTGGGTCTATCCCATATTTATTTCGCTGGGCCTCGGACCACTGCGCTTGAGGTCTTTAAAATGGGTTCTAATAATTGGCAGACTGTAATGACTCGCCATCCAGAGTGCTTCCATGTGGAATCATTTTTCTAAAAGCATCTTGAGATCTTTAATTGCATGAATAAATCGGGTATATGGTCACTACCAAATGTATTAATACCAACCAATTAACAAATCGTTTTCTTCTCTGACAGTTTAACTAGTCCTAACACATTTGTTACACTTTGCAAGTGTTTTTGGAACAAATGGTATAACACTGAACAAACAAATTATAATAATATCAGGAATTTTCATTTGTTTGCGAAAAGTGGACAGAAGAAGTTTGGCTGAAGTAGAAGTACTGATGAATAGGAAGTATTCCACTATAAGTACAGCACATTAATAGCTATGAAGATTTATGTAGTCTCATAGAACGTTATTCACGTAGATTTCATTTTTGAACAGTGAGCTGACTTCATTTACGTACTTCTCACTTAAATAGTGTAAGGGAACGGCCACGAATTGCTGCTGAGAACAGCTTATTTTCCGTATCTTTCAGCATCTAGCTTAAAATGTAGGTTTGAAGAAGAAACGTGCTCTAAGATGCTACCATACGTTGCAAATCCATTCCGGAACATTTAGAAGGATGCTCAGTTGTCAAGTGATCGTTTCTCGTCTTCCTATGTCCCAGATAATCATAACTTTTCCTAGTTGAGTAGAATTGATGTAACATCTTGTTCGATCCTCCTTAAACCTAACTAACTTATTACCTGGTGCTATTCTCGCTTAACACGCTCACAACGACGCCTAATTTCGGTTTCGCTGTTGAGCGGGCGACGGCTAATTTTTCACTGCGCTCATTGTGAGACCAGTGGGTATCATAGTAGCCACTCCGGCGTTTTTTTACGCTCCCCCATCTCTTTTGTTGTGATTGCTGTTGTTGTTATTGTCCTTGGCGGTCGACGGCGGTAGTTTCGGCGATTTCACCTTCCTCAGAGCCGTGCTGGTACGAGTGCGACTCTTGTTATACGTGCTGTATGTATATCGTCTTCCCGTATATACGCTCGTTCCGTACTATGATCATGATTAATCTAGCAATTCAAAAGGCAATCAATAGTTGTCGAAAACGAGCACAGTTCAAAATTGGTGCGCTTTGCCACGGGGTCCCCTTGACAATTTGCGCGTTTATTCATTACATTATGAAGATTATCCTAAATTTACCCATTTTAAGCACGCATTGCGATTCCTCCATTCACTGCGTCTCATACTCCTTTGTCTGCTTTGTTCTTCATTGCCCCATCGATTTTATTTCTACATTTGAAGAATCACATGCATTCCGTTGCATTTGATGCATGTACAGCGACTTTTCTTTCAGCGTAATTAAAAAACAGTTCACCGAACTGTGCTGAATCGCAAGCAAATTCAGCTGGAAGCACTTGACCTGCTTCAATGGAATCAAGTACTGATGCAGTAAAAGAGCAGGTAAGTATTTTGTGATGACGTGTTTTCCATTTACATTATTATTAGGTTTTGGTTATTAGCCTCCGGAAAAGGTAGTAGCGCGTTCGATTTCCACCGTAGACACCTGCTGCCTGGACTTTTGCAAATATCTCAGTATCGTTGTTGCTGTTGTATAATAATAATGCCCTGTCGTGAAAAATTTTAACTGGCAATAAATAGAAAGTTAACATTATTCGTATATAATGCTGAGATATTTGCAAAACTCCGGACTGCAGGTATATGCGGTGGGGAACGAACGTGCGCTATTGTCCTTTCCGGGGAGTGGCGCACTTCACCACCACACCATTCGGGTCCTTCGTTTTGCCTGTCTCTCAGCTAGTTCTTTTGATCTTTTACCATCAGCAATCACCCGTCAGCGAGATTAAATAATAAGCTAAAATTGCGTGTTCGTTCCCCACCGCATACACCTGCGGTCCGAAGTTTTGCAAATATCTCAGCATTACATACGAGTTATATTTCGCAACATACCCTGCCATTAAAAAGAAAAAAGGCAGTAAATAAAAGGGTTAAATTAACATTATTACTTCGTTTCTTGATAAGGAAAGTTGCCTATTTTTTGCAGTTCATATGTTGACTACACGTGTGCTTCATTCCGACTCCTCTGCTTGATATGTAGGTTTAAGAGGAAACATATTCAGCTATGCCGCCATATCTTGAAAATCCACTTCGGAACACTATGTAGGAATTTAAATGATCGACTTTCTGCCACGACCGACTTTCTATTAACCTCGGCATTGATCAAGTGATTTTGTTCGTATTTTTTTGAGCAAACGCGAGGTGTTATTGTTCCTTGTTCACGATTAAGCTGACGTTTCGGCGAATTTCGCCTTCTTCAGAGCCTGGAAAGGTCAAGTTGATAGCAACTCACTCGGCCAGACGCCTCCATAACCAAACAAAGAAACCCCAAACCAAGATTTCAATCATTTTGAACACAGCTTNATTTAAATGATCGACTTTCTGCCACGACCGACTTTCTATTAACCTCGGCATTGATCAAG